GAGGTGGAGCGGCAGGCAGGCTTGCTGGCCCACAGGTAAGCTAGGGGACATCATGGCTGAGAGGTTGAGGACCAGAGAGAAAGACTTGGTTGCTGGCTGAGAGGAGGCACTGCTGTGGGCTGTATCCTTACTGTTTACTCATCCTGACTTGTGGTAACCTATTAATTTCCCTAATAATATATGTTATATTCCACAGTAAGTGGCACATTTTGAGAAGATACAGAAGCAATTGGAGTAGATTTGAAAATGTCAGGCGGGAAGCATCTGAATAAATTAAAAATATTTAGCCGGTGGGGCAGACTAAGAGCTCTGGCAGTGCAGTGGATTACGAATTGGGCTGCTAAACCACAAGGTCAGCAGTTCAAACCCACCGGCTCCCATAAAGATTGGTTGCCATGGAAATCCAAAAGGCAATTATATTCTGCCCAGTGGGGTCCCTGGGCCAGAATGGACTCAACGGCAATGGGTGTGCTTTGACAATTTGATGGAACAGAAGACCTAGGAAAGGGACTCCCTTCTCAAGGGCTACAGAGGCCCTACAGATACTATAAATGAGCAGTTAAAGTGAGAGTCAATTTAGCATCTAAAGGTGATTATTACCATCAGAGATATGAGCTCTTCATTGCCAATCCTCCAATTATTTCCCAAGAGAAGGGAGAAAGAGTCTAATGTAAAATTTCTCCATTTCTAAAAGTTGACTACCAATGTAGGTTTTGTGTAAAGTTGGGCAAGCTAAACAGTATGTAATCCCAGCCTTACGTGATTTGTGCACACCAGTTTGCAACTTATGACTTGGGAAACTATGCTGGCTACCTTCCAATACTGGAACTGTCAAGGAAATTAGGAACAGACTTGTTCCCGATGGGCCTAAATGGTGACAGCCTTAAGGGGGCAAACTATAACCTCATAGTCAGTCTACAAGTTTTAGTGGGTTACCAGGGGAGCTTTACAACGCTATACACTTTTAATTTGGACAAACCCACTGCCATCAAGTTGATTCTGCCTCATAGTGACCATCCAGGACAGAGTGGAACTGCTCCTTTGAGTTTCCAAGACTGTAAATCTTTACTATAGCTCATCTTTCTCCCTTGGAGCAGCTGGTAGGTTTAACCAGCCGACCTTGCAGTAAACAGACCAATGCCTAAGGCACAGCACCACCAGGGTTTCTTTCCATTAGGGCAGGGCAGGTAAGTATTACAGATCGGCTCAAGAGTTCTACCACTTACAACCTGTGACCTTGCTCAAACACCATAACCTCCCTAGTCCTTTCTTCCCGACCTCCCCTCCCTACCAAAAAGAAACATCGTTAACTTTTGGTCTCCTATCTCTAAAGTTACTATAAAGATCAAAATTTACTTGTTAAAAAAAAAAAGAAATCACTTTATAATGGCAAAAAATGATAGCAATTGAAGATATTATAAACCACTGCCATAATATATTTATGCATGTCTTATCTCAGTAAGGACATATTCCCAATCTAATGAATTTCTGTATGCCTCCCTCTGTCTCCTGAAATATTTATTGAAGGAATGTTAAAAAGAAAGTATCAAGACAGTTAAAGTAACAATGTAAGTGAAGGCAATCACTAAAACAAACATCGAAGATGTTAATCATTAATACCCCTGACCCAGTCTAAAAGACACTCAAAAAAAACCCAAAAAACTCACTGCTATCCAGTCAATTCTCAATTTGAGTGACCCTTATCAGACAAAGTAGAAGTGCCCTGTGAGCTTCCAAAACTGTTAATTCTTTCCGGGTGGAGAAAGTCTCATCTTTCTCCGACCAGAGGTGGGCCCTGGTGGCTTTGAACTGCTAACCTTGCAGTTAGTAGCCCACTACCCAACCAGGGCTCCTCCTGAATTTAAGATGAGATCCAATCAAACTGAAGGATATATAAAAATAAGGGTAGAATGTCAGAGAAAAAGTGGAAAACCCTCAACAAGATGGACTGACACAGTGACTGCAACAATGGACCCCAAAAACAACACTTGTGAGGATGGCAGAGTTTTGATCTGTTATGCACAGGTTTGCTGTGACTCGGAGAGGGCCTAGCAACAACGTGTGCGTGGGTGACACTCTACAGCAAGCGCTGGCAAACGACGGCCAACTGCCTGTATTTGTTAAGACCCACTGGAACACAGCCTAGCTCATTCGATCACATATTATCTACAGTTGCTTTTATGCCACAATGACAGAGCTAGCTACGTAGTAGCTTTTAAACATCTACATGCCCAGATCTTAAAATTACAAAATACCACAAATCTCAGGTAGGTTGAATCATTCCTCTTCCTATGGCTCCATCCCATGGGACTTATTTATTAAAATCTCTGACACTAATGGGATCTTTATTACGTGTGAATGCTATCTTACAATATACACTATGACATACCTGTATATACTCGTGTATAAGCCGAGTTTTTCAGCACAATTTTAATGCAGTTTTTGTGGTAAGGTTAGGTGCCTCGGCTTATATTCCGGTTGGTTTATACTCGAGTATATACATTATACTTGAGTATATACATTAAGTGTAGCACCAGTAAATATGTTACTAAACAAAGTCACCACATTCCTCTTATCTGTTCAGGATTTTATATATACATATAGTTTTAAGTCCACTTCTCTTCCACCTAGTACCATCACCAAAGAGCTCTGAAACATTGAAAAGTGGAGAGGAGTGTGGGCCTGGGAAAAGCTCAATGCTTATGGAAGCCTACCTCTGATCCTCCCGAGTTCTCAAAACTCCACCTGCTTGAATCTCGCTGTTTTCATTGAGCCCACAAACTCATGAAAACTCAATTTCCTTCTTACTCATTCCAGCTGCCCTATCATTACATGTTTTAAAAGAGAAGTCATTGCCACAAATTAAAATAAAACGAGCATTGGGTTAACAAGTTTTCTGAGCAAAATCTAATATCCAGTAGACACTGGCAGGCTGGTTTACGATCCCATGAAAAGTCCCTGGTTTTCTTTCTGGCCTCACTCTGAAGTGATTGTTAAGGGAAAAAACATTTTATTGCTTTGTTTTGGGGGAACTCGGAATTGTCAAACATTTACTACTGGGTTTAGTGAGATCTTAGCTTTTCTTCGAATAGCTGAGACTACAACAGATAATAACTCCAACTTTCTCCAAGAGTTAGCAATTCCATACCTGCTAGGGACCCAACACAACTTCCACTGCTTCAGCCCCACACTACCCTTCACTGACTTTTCACGCTACTGCCTCGCATGCGGTAAAAGGGGACCTCCTTATTTAGTCCCCCTACAGTCTTCCAACAGTTTCAAACCATCCTCCGAACCTTCCCTTCTTCTCTAGTCTAGAAATCTACTTCTCAGGTTAACTGTGCCCCTAACATATTTTTCTGTGTCCATAAAGGTGTTTTTTAATTTATAGATTAAAACTTTGAGGCCTGATCGATGAGGACTTATGTTTGTCTTTGTTTTTGTTATATTTTTTGGTTGGTTTGCCCCTCCAAACCATCAATCACATCTTTGAGTATTAATTAAATAATACTTTAGGTATTCTGAAGATCCACAATTGTAATTCTCTTTCAGAAAGCATTTAAGCTAGTTTCATTCATACTTATGAATACTCGTGATTCCCCAGATTCCCCAGGCAGATCAGGAAATTCCCACAGGGAAGTGTATTTTTAACATCCCAAGTAATAGTTTAAGAAAACTGCTTTTCTTTCATCATGAAATATTTAAAAGTACCTCGGCTAAGTAAGTTAGAGTGCTTAGCTTCATTCAAGACTATCAATGCCCCACACTTTATTATTCCAGGCACTCTGGGTCCAGTTATAGTAACCGTACCAGGATGCAAGCCGAACTCCTGAGCAAAATCCAGGAAAACTGCATGACAGCAAACCAAGAGTTAGAAAACAAATAACAAATCAGATGGGGAGCCCAGCCTTCAAAAGTGAAGCAAGCTAAATTGGAAAAATAGGAAGAAATAGGGAAAACAAACGCTACAGTTGCTTCTTAAGACAATCGCATAAGGAAGCGGGGAGGACGAGAGACAAGAGCGATTATTCTTCACATAAGTCAGACCAACAGGGCTTCATGAAACCCTGGAAATGGAAATGATTTTTAAGGAAAGATTCGACCGAGGGGTTGGGGTGTTCGGCGAATTCCAGTCTTTGAGACCCCTAGCTAGCTGAAAAGGAACTGAGCAACTGCTCAACGTGGTACGGGATAAACACGCCATTCGCGGCCCTGCAGCCCTGCCTGGTCTCCAAAGGACCGTGGGTTTGCGTTCTCTCCCGCAGCGCGGCAGGTCCCTGGACAGTTTGCGGTGGGGTGGTCGCGCACTCCACTGCCCCTCTCGCCTCCAATCGGGGCTAGGCCCACCGCCACGAACCTGGGTCAGCAGCACCTAGACCCCTGGACAGGAAGTGACTGTTCTGACCGTGGGTCCATCCAGAAAGAAGGTGCGAGCCGGGCTGGACCTCCAGTTTGCCCAGTAAATATAACCAGCAGCTGCCGGCGGCGGTGTGCGAATGCAGCGCAAAGCTGCTGGGGAAGCCTGTGCGCCGGGAAAATGGGGGAGGGGGGGCAGTCGGGGGCTGCTCCTTCGTCTACATAGGATGCTGCACACAAGCAGCTGGACAGACACCGCGGGGGGTAAGAAGGGTGGAGGGTTTCGGGGTGGGGAGGGGGAGAAGGGGCTGGACTGCAGAAGCAGGAACGGGCGTGGAGGTGTGTCTGAGGAAACCCAAACTGGGGCTACGGGATGGGGGGTGGGAGTGGGGGGGTACGTGTGGGGGTGGGGAGGCCGTGTTTATCGCTACAGAGACCCGTTAACCCCTCAAAGCTAGTGGCCAACTGCCCCGTGGCCCTCTGCCCAGGCCCACCAGACGTCTAGGAAGGCCTACTCCGCGGCTGCCCGCCTCCCGCTGCCCTGGGGCAGCAGCTTCCACCCGGCTCCCACGGAGCCCCGTCCGCCGGACGCGCTCTAGCCCGCCCGGCCCCCCAGCCCTCGGGCCAAGCCCCAGGATGCGTACCACGAGCCCTTCCGGGCCGCTGCCGGAGGCCAGGCCGCCGCCGCCGCCAGTTCTGCCGGCTTCCAGCTCACAAACGAGCCGCTGCGGCCAGCGCGAAACTCGGGTTCCCAACAGCCGCTCTCGCCGCCTGTCGCCTGCTTTCCAGGCCGCGTCGAGAGCTCCGCTCCCCCTGCCGGCAGGCAGCCATTTCCGACGAGCGACGGCGGAACTTGCCGAAGTGCGCCGGGCCGGAAATGGCCGAACCCAGGCGTTCGCGCGGTCGGGAAAGCGCAGGAGGCGCTCGAGATTTTCCGGAAAGGCGCCCGAAGGGACGAGGCGGCCCCCGGCTCTGGAAGGTGCGGCTCCGGGAGCGGCGGGCCGCACTGCCGCGGGGTTGTGGGGAAAAGCGCCGCTCCGGGTACTAGCGCGGGCGCGGCCACGCCACGGAGGCGGGCCGGCGGGGAGAAAGGACGCGGCGGCAGCTTTCTGAGATTTCAAGCCCACGGTCTGTGAATGCCCGCTCAGCCTTTCAAAAACACAAAAAACATCTACACTGTGCACAGAAAATGTTCCCGGGAGCTCTGGAGGTAGTTAAAACTCCAGAGCCTCTGCCGCTCCACCAATGTCACCGGCAGTTTAGAACCGGCCCCGTTGTCATGAGCGGCGCGATCAATAATTACTTAACGCTCTTAGACATTTTCGAATGCTCGGTTTATTCATTGCAAACACACATCAAACAATCTAAAATATTACTCAAACTACTAAGGGCAAACAACTATGAGCATAAGGGCATCATAATAGCACTCTTCACACATTTTATACTAGCACCATAGCCCCAACAAGCATTGCCTCATCGGTGGACTCAACCCGGGTAGAGTTGGAGAGAGCAGGAGATGATGTCTCCTTGGTTCCTAGCTCTCTAAAAAGTCAGTGTCTACCGGGGTTTAAATTGACAGCTTGGCTGTCTCTTTGACATAGTCACTGTCCCAGTCAAGTCTTATCGGGTTTCTCCATGCTTTAGGTGACTTGGTTGGTTTTTGGGCGTCGGTCAGGTCTCAGCCCAGTCTTATCAGGGTGCCCCACATTTTTGTGGTGGCTCCTTGGATCAGCTGTTGATTTGGGCCCCAATGTTACACTTTATTTCTTCTCTAAAATGGAGTTTCTTGTGCTTGTTTCTTTGAGGTGGCTCAACGTCTTGCAAGGTAGTTCAACGTCTTGCAAGGATATTCTATGGTGCTCTCATCACTAGTGAAGTTCAAGTCAGCCCCCTCGATTCTAAAATTAAATCTGTGCCAGAAGAAATCTTTCTAAATAGGGTGACCAATCTCCACCAGTGGTCTCGAGTTTTTTAAAAACACTAATGACTATCAAAGACCCAGTTGGGGGCCATGGATGCTTATGAAAAACTGAGACTTTAACAACAGGTCTGTTTAACCAGGTTAATTCAGTTGTGTGCAATGATCAACCAAAACTAAGAGGCCCGGGAGGGGAGAAAGGATACACGTTTTAAATTGAGCCAGCCCCTGTGAACTAGAAAATTGCACATATTCTACACACACACCGTCAAACAAACATACATGTAAATACTGTTTACTTCCATACTTGCAAAATCAGGCAAGCCTTTTCAGCTAATTGAAACAGGTGATGGGGTGGTGGGGGGTAGATATTCAAACAATCCTGAGAAACACCTGTTTACTAGTGTTAACTCAGAAATGAGTTAAAACCCATTAGTTCAGCTATAACTGTAGTGGTGAGCTGAAATCCAAGTTGCTTCTATGTATACTTTTTTTTTTTTTACTTTTTAATCCCAAAAATGCAGGGCTTCTAATCCAAGGTTTCCTAGCTAGGGAACCCAAACATACTAGGCCTTCTAGTAGCTGGCGCTGCCAAAGCTAGGGCCTGCTCTTATTCCAGGGCTTGGGTGGTCTGTTACCTTTAGCCAAACTGATCCCCAGAGGTAAGGCTCCCCAGCTGGCCTATCCCACCCACACACTCTTCTTAGGGGAACCCAGGCATAAAGTGCAATCTGCAGGGCTGAGAAAAACGCAGAAGATTGATTAGTTTCCCACCAGGGGCAGTTCAGGCTAAGGATTCCGTTTGCAAAACAAAACTAAAAGAAAAATAAATAAAGGAACGCCTAGCAACCTGCTTTCCAGAGAGCTCACTCTTCACATCCAATTGGGCTCCTTCTCTTTTTGTTTCTCCTCCTCTTCTCTTTCCTGAGATCCTACTCTGCTCTCGGAGCATTTGTTCCCTCTCTTTTCCCTTTGATTACTATACACAAATAGAAACTTGCAAAACTCAACCACTTTCACAAGTGTACAGAAAGAACCCTGTTTTCATTCTGCTCAATGTATTGAGGAAAAACAGTGATACAAATTGTTTAAATCATTCTAATAAACAAATATGGACAGAGTATACTCCAAGTTTCAGGAGTAGCCTAAAACTGTATTGTTTCTTTTCTTTTTCTTTTTCCAGGTCATCTACATGGCTTACTGCCAGTTCTGTGGCAGCTGGCAGCAGACTAGCTGTGTGGGAGGAGACACACAGACAACGACATGGTAAAAATTACCAGGTGTTGGTTTCCACACTCACAGGAGAGGACATGCAGATACCTGCCACCTGGAAGACCCGGACTAAATGTCTTCTTATGCATCTGAGTAACCCAATGTGGGAACTGAGAACCAGGAAGCGTATATGCGGACAAATTCTCTAAGCTCATATTTAAGGAAGCAGACTCTGGTGGAGGGAGGCCTTTATGTTTGTGAGTTGGAGATGAATCCCAGTTACATTCTCATAACTAAAAGTTATTCCCCACAAGTCCCCTGTAATAATGCCAATTTTAAGATGCTGCTTGGAAGCACATGGTTGCTACTATACACTTGAAGATTAACTGCTTAAAGGTTGTCTGCCATAAAGAGCAGATAAGACCACCCCACCCTAAATACAGCCCGCTCCCTTATGATAAAGATCATAGATTGCTCCCGGGAGAAGAGCTCAGGGACAGTCAAGGTTAAGCCATCACCTTAACTCCAAAATCCGCCCATCTTCTTACGCCTGGCACATCCCCTTCCTGTTATGTGTTTGCCTCTAACACAGTCCCTTCCTGTTACATATATGTATGATGTGGCTGAGATTATATAAGTAACTAGAAAATACATTAGTTCTCTCTATATAGTTCCTGTCATCAGAAGAGGTAAACCCTTGCATGCCTTGTCTGATGTTTCTTTAATTTACCCTTCAATTACACAACCACCCCCTTAGGATCTGTGGTAGTTATATAATCGTTTGTCAATTTGAGAGGATTAAGAGTGAAAGGGTGGGGTCTAGCCTATCAATCAGGTCATAGCCAATGCGGCCTCTGTGTGGGCATGACCTTCTCAGGATTCTGAGAACTCCTGTATTATTCCTTGGAGGTGACTCTCTCTGCTCACTCTCTGGAAGACATTGCAGCTGACAAAACACATGGAGCTACAAGGTGCTCTGGGCTGGAGGAGCTCCATGGATGCCCCTGCCAGCGCTGAGATGCTTACAATGCCACTGGATCCACAAGACCTCCCACCCACTGGCCTGTGATCTTCCTGCATTCAGTATCATTGCATGTGTTTTGTGAGTCTGAAAAGGACTTTATAGATTGGTATCACACATATCAGACTTATGGACTTGATCTGGACTGGACTGGATGTTTTCTTAATGTACAATTACTCTTTATATCAAACTCTCTCTTACACACACATTCATGCTTATGAATTTGTTTCTCTAGCCTACCTGAACTAACACAGGATGCATTCGGTTGTGGAGGCTGGTCTCACACAACCCAACACATCGCATTCGCCAAGATCAAAGTATTTGATTATTTTTAACTGTTTTCCTGGCATATAATCCGCATATCATACAATTCAATAGTTTTTTGTTTTTGTTTTTTTCAATTCAATAGTTTGATAATATCAAGAAGAGTTGTGCAATCATTACCACCACCAATGTATTCAACTTTGATGATGGCCAAGCTTTACAAAGGAAAATGGCAGTCCAAACTTGGACATATACTTGCCTTCACAGGAGGCATGGTTGCCACTGGTCACCCCTGCTCCTTTGGATGCTGTGAGCTTGTACTCAGTCTCTTCCTTCTCCCTGTCTCCAATTCTGCTCTGGACATCCACACGTCATCAGCATCCTACTACTACATATTTTATAAATATGTACTTCTAGTCACCTAACCGATGAGAAAAATAGACTTCTGTTTCTGAAAGCGATCCTCTCATAGTATTTCTGTTAGAGCAGCACTAGATAACCAAACATACTTTTTATATGTATTGTCTGATTTTAATCCTAGCCAGGCAGGGTGAATTTACAGTTGAGGAAGCTAACACGTTAAAAAGTTAAATACGTAAGATGCCAAAGGATGACAAGAGTGGGGGACAAAGCATAGATGGAACTCCACGTTTTTCAAACTCTAAATCCAATATTTGAAAATCATTAAATCACATCAACAGGTTTGACCAGGCCAACCTAATTGTGTTACCAGGACCATAAACAATAGATCCCACAACGAACGCATGCAAGGCTCCCAAACCGTTATTTGTAGTATCTCTGCTATTCCTCCTCTGCCTACTTTCCTGGTTTAAATGCTCATTACTCCTCCTTGGACGGTTGTGGTAATACCTCAGTTTGGGGCTCAGAAAATACAAGAACACTCACAACTTCTCTCCTCACAGAAAGAAGCCACACAAACCCATCTTCATTGACATCTCAGAATGCTTTACAGTACTTACTTCTCTCTTCTTCGCATTTGGAACTTAATCAAAAATAGTTTTGCACTGTTACTTAACGGCGCCCATGTTTAAAGAGCTTTATCCACAGAGTCCCCTTGTGGTAAATGTCATCAGCACCAATGTGTACCGGTTCACCAAAAGTTCTCAGCAGCATCATTAGGAAAAGATGGAAAGGTGATCGTCATCCAAATGCCCATCAATGGTAGATGAGAACAAGTATGGTGGATCCATACATGGAACACTCATCAGCAATGAGAATGAATGCACTACACTACGGTCACCGATGTTGATGAACCTCATGAAACCAGACCCCCCAAAAAACATGAGGGGCTTCAAAATGCTGGTGGAAAACTGGAATTAAAAGATAATAGAATTTTTCTACCAACTTTTCGAA